TGGCACGCTTAGCAGATAGAATAATTGACAGAGGTCTCCCAACTGGAACACAAACGATACATCGTACATATAGGGGAGAAACACCAAACCTGATCTTAGGTGTTAAAAGCCTGGGGAAGACTGTGACAAAGATGCAAAAAGATGGTAGAACCTGAGAAGGACACTGCTGTAAACAAGGTATAGTTCACAGGGTTGGTCACAAAAACCCAGACAATCAATTAGATGCTGCCATCAGGCTCCCGAGATTAGAGAGAACTAGGATGCGTGCCTAAATTGTCACTTCATTTATACTGGATACGGAAATCCGGGGTAGGATATTTTGACGTATACCGTAGCTGCACTGTGAAACGTTCGTGATAAAAAGATTAACTCAGGTCGAAAACCGTTTCTTCTTACACTTTAGGCTGCTAAAAACATCGGACAGAAAAATTAAAAGACAGATCTTTGGTTTAAGAGACGAATTGCTTGAGTGTTCGCTGTAGCGGATTTAGATCCAACAATACTGGGACTAGATTTCTGAGGATACATAGAGACGGCGTTTAAATCTCGCTACACAAAAGGCATAGGAAGTCATATTATTTTTCTAAATTTGATACAAATACCGCCTCTAACAGCCGCAAAATTTCAGGATATACTCGAGTAACCTCCGAACCTGACCAAATCTAACCCCCAACATTCTAATTATGAGCTGAATGTTAGTCATTCACTCGCAATAGAAGGTGCATCTGTGTTTGCTAGGCCCAGAATAATCGCATCTGATGAGCTTATGATATGTAGAGCCAAATTAGACTACATGCTCCGATTGCTTTGGGCACGTATTCCGGAAGGAAAACGGTAACTGGCGATTGTGTGGTGATTACACACCCACCAACTACCAATAATGCTACGCAGGTACCCAGTACATCACATTTTAAGATTTTACAGATCGATTACTAAAATATAACTGGTCAGAGCATACCAAAATATCTCATTGTTTGAGGAAAATATTCTTAAGATCATTATTATTAGACCTTTCTCACCGTTTCAGATTTTGCACATTCCATTGGGCCTTAGGAACGTAGCACAAACTTCTTCCAGATATCTTTTGCCCGAAGATATATTCACGACATGTTAACAGCCACTTGGGGCTTAGCATCACGTGAACAAACCATCAGAGCTTTTTCTAAACGACTGAATAAAAGGAAAACTAAAATAGTTCAAACTAAGTGTTTTCCGAGTTTACATTTCTTAATTTCTTGAACAAGTACTAGGCCCCAAAGAAGTCAAACTACTGAAAACTGAGACAAAGACCACAGAGCTATTCTTCATTCACAGTTCCTTAACACAAACTTTAGGTGTTCTAGGTTTAAGCAACTTTTACCTTTGACGGAATAAGTTAACACGAGCATCTATGTTGTGACTTTCGAGCATCGATTCTCCACTTGCTTTAATGGCAATAGCTTCAGACGAAGCTGTAGTCAACTTCCTTAGTCAACTAGTCAGAAACATATTCAGCCGACTACGTTCGTCACAGAAAGGCTCGCTCGTGCTGAGATGAGATACTTGGCTTCTGAAAGAGATACCAGTGCAGTCTGCACTACGATAGGCAGATTAGAGCTGGCTTTTCTAGATAATGAACTATCATTTTATTTCTCTGTAGGGACTCCACTTTTATGAAGAGAACGCCACTGGCTTAACAGAAGTAGATATTATTATAACCTATTGTACCAGTGATTGTGGCCCTCATCTCGCTCATTGTCTTCACGTTAGGCTCGCTTGTATCCCTTGGCACGATCTCGATTTTATTTAGATACCACGCGATTGCCAGCAAATACAAATTCCTTCGTTCATCCAAATTTCTTCTTGGTTTCGGATTTATGAAGGGAAATCACCCGGTGATCATAGTCAACCGCCACTCGGCACACTTAGTTTACCCACCATTCATGTCATCTCGTTATTGATTGCCTCATATAAACCTAAAATAATCTTTTACGTAACGGCTTGTTTTAATAAACGACCTCTGGCCGCTACGTTCTCCACTATCCGATTTCTTGTTCACGAGCTAGTATAAACTAATTGATTTCTTTACCTCGATTCTTGTTCTTTCGGTAAGGTTCCAGGTGTTTGGTAGTGTCCAATGCATGGGGGGTCTAGCCACTCAACTACCTAATTATAGTCAGTTGGCAGTTGATTGTGAGTTTGCATGTCTCGGGATTTGAATGAATACGTTTGTTTCAGGGCAGTAATGTTTCTGGATACCAGCAGCTATTACATTACCAGACCATAGATCAGTTAGTTGCAATGTGGAGAATAATAAGGATAGAATTCTAATGCTAATAAGAATAAGATTTCAGAACTAAGTAAATAAATGGAGAAGTTATTTTATTAATTGATAGGGAAGATTGTGAGAGAGGACCGTAGTGTAAGCAAGGGAGAAGAAACAGATATACTAAGCAGTATAGATTAAGTTTGTGATCTGAGGAGATAGCAATAATAACAACTAGAAGGTCCCAAGACGTATCAGGCACAAATAATCCAAGAGGGAGATGATAATCCATATGTGAATACGTAGTTATCAAGTCTCTTCTTAAAGCTGTCCACTGAGGCAGATGTAGTTACTTTAGCTGGGAGAGCATTTCAAGTTGCAACGACTATTAATGAGAAAAAGTGCGCACGAACCTGAGTGTTCGAAAATGGGAGAAATGTTTGCTCCTTGATGCGCAATTTTCGGAGGATTACTTCGAGGAGTGTGGTGATGCATCGGTCAGGTGATTGGCGTGCCTAATAGGTTGTACGCCATGATCGGGTCACCTGTGATTCTCCTGTGACTCAGGAGGGCGCGCATATGTCATAAACAACATGAAGAATAATTCAGGGGTGATGGCACAAGGTTGTCTTCGCATAAAATGAAGAGTTATTTTAGCCTTGGCTGTGCCCCGTATATTGTTCGTATCGGTGTGGAGGCTTACAGTGGTTTTTAAACCGAGAACGTTCTCTGATGAGACATTAGGGGGCGGACTTCTGTAGAGGGTGTAAATCGTTTGCGACATGTCGGGCAGAAAGCATACGACGTGACATTTCGTCTGGTTTAGTTTTAAACCGTTTTTCACTGCCCATTTCTCAAAGGATGTAAGATCCTTTAGAAACTCAGTCGAATACTCTTCGCTTCTAATGGACCTCCATATCTTTGCATCGTCTGTGTGAATCAATGTTTCCGAGCTAACTTTGTCTTACAGGTCGTTAATAAATATCAGGAAGAGAAGCGGACCTAAAATGGTCCTAAACGCTTATAGTTCAAACTGTTGGACTTTCAAAACTAACTGGTCGGAATCTTAGAGATGGAGGTAGAGAGGTAAGCAGACATTGCTCAGAATAGAAACCAACGGTGATCCTGCTGTTCTTTCTATTTTCTTCACATAAATGAGATGGACGCCTTCAACCAAAGTATTGTCTGATTGCATTTCTCTCAGCTAAAATATCATTCATTCAGTTATCTGACTCTCGTACACCAATTACTGTTAATTTTGTTGTACCATCTACAAAACCCAGTTTTGTATCTGTTTGCGCCAATATTTGTACTGTAAATAAATAATATAACAAGGAATAGACTACTCAGTTCTCAGATTTGTACTGCGGCTTGTAATGTGCATACTATAGCTCTTGGAAGTTACACGAACAACTGTATGAAGCCACTTGAACATTTACTAAAGAGAAACGAGGTGAAGAAAGATTCAGAACAAACATATCTTATGGTGCATAAATAGAATAAACCACGGTAAAGATAAAATAACTGCATTCACTAAGGCATATCCTTTGGATGGACCTATGACTCGGTTCGCGGTAAGTTGTTTGACGCCAATTAAGTGTAATGAAGAAGAACAAGTACACTTATAAGTGAAGTTATTGCACTAAGAATGCAAAAGTAAAATTCTTCAGATGTGCCTCCATGTTACTACACGTTTGATGCATATTTGAGGCGTCAAAAATGTACGCATGATCGCGAGTTTCCCAATTGCTGGTTAACAAAATTGCAGGTAGCAGTGTAAGTCACATTAATATGTGGTTGTTCACGGTACTGTTCGTTCCCTCAAACCATTAGTTTTCGAATGATATGCAACATATTCCAGTAAGTAGAAGACATGATCACTTGACCACTGAAGTTTGGAAGAGTGTGTAATTATTTTACGAGATTACTCAGTAGATGGATGAGAACTCAGTTTTCCTACAAATCCTAGTCTAAATCCCAATTGTTGAGTCTCAAAAAACACTAAATACCTCATCTAACGTCTTATAACTAAGATTCTCAACAAGTAAGCACTATTACAAAAACATTCACTTACTGGTAATCAAATAATCTTGTTGTTGAATGAAAACGGAAAGTTCGTGTCTTACTGAAAAGAAGGGCTTGTTGAGCAGGATAACTGTTGACTAAGAAATGCAACTTTAATTTAGAATAACTTCGAACCGACTCTAGTTATTGTTTTCAAAATAATGTATAGTGAAGCATTTACTGAAAATTAATTCCCATTTTTCGCATTAGCAACAATACGGAAAGCTAGATCGGAGTTGCTGACGGATTTAAGTGCTCAGAACAGTTTCATCTCAAGCTTAGATTTCATAACGTGTGATGTGAACATCTACAGTGACTCCAACTTATTCCTAACTATTTTAATAAATACAACAATAACATCAAATCCACGATAACATCTGGAGGCGACTTTTAAGGTATGTTTGAGCATACACTATTCATTATCGTTTTAAACACAAATAATTCTTGCAGTTAGGACGTTCAAATAGTAGTGCAAATTGTATAAGAGCAAAGCTACTGAATATTTATGATGATTAGAAAATCACCATGTTATTTTCAACTTGCTTTACATGCACTGACAATAGATAGTAATGAATATTTTCAACTAGAATTATGCTACAAATCATTAAAACATTCTACCTAATAATAATTAGACAGATTTACAAAAAAAGAGACAATCAGCTGAACACTTGAGAAATTCATTATTTAAATACCTAGTGAAGCAATATATGTAAATATATATATATATGTGTGTATATCTATGCATATAAATATATGCATAATTACAGATTTTTGGAAAAGAAAACACAAAGTAGAAATGCATCAGATACAAAGTGTTCTTAGACAACAACATACAGTTTTTTAGGTGTATAATATAACTAAGATAATTTCGTAAACACAAACACACATATACAAACATATGTATATGTATATGTGTAAGAGAGGGAAAACGTGGACAGTTAGGAAAATTGAAATAAAAATTGAATTGAAGTGATTCATTGAAGATGATGAGACTGTGTTTGAGTAATTTTTGAAAGATTTTCTAAATAGTTTAATCAATAACTGAGAAAAAAAAAGAGGACAACACACGATATGAACAGGGCATACTTTTCTATGAATGATCCATTTAGAATACAGCAACGCACATAAGTAGAGGAATATAAACAAATTATCAGTATTATCATACATTTCTCATTTCATTTTTGAACAGAGTTAAACACAATGTGCATACACATAGAAATTATTAGAAATACCATGTATTAAACAAGTAAATTTTAAAAGTAATGATAGTGAAGTTGTAGATGTTTACAATAAAGAGTAGTAGTACAATGGGAAAAGCAAATAAAAATAATCATAATAATAATAATAATGAAATGCCCAGTAAGCAAACACAAGATTGAATAACGCACCGAGTTGAATTTAGAAATGATTTGTAAAGGCGATTACTAAACAAAACCACATGCAACATAGAACATACAGAATATATATATATATATATATATATATATATATATATGGATTACCACGCTATAGATACACAAAAGCCTGAAGCTAAAATCATTATTTACTGAGATCTAAAATAGCTTGAGTCTCTTCATATTCTTTAGTAGTATCATATTTATCCTGAGATTGATCTGAATGTCTACAAGATACAATTTGTCTGGTATCTCCGGAATCCTGAGTTTCTCGCTCTGCACAAACAGAGCTAGTTAAGTCAGAGGCGGGTGTAGGAGATGGTGAGATTGAATGAATTCTATTGTCCGGTTGGGTGCACGACTGTTGCTGACAGTTTGAATGCTTTACAGGAGTAGAAGTCGTTCCTATTCCCAGTGAAGTATTTCCAGCCCCACTAAACATTGATAAAAGAGCAGCAGTGTCTAGTTCTCCAGAACTACCACAAGCAGAAACTAGAGTGGAGGCTAAAGATGCAAGAAGTTGCTGAGAATCCCAGTGATTCGTTGGCTGAGTTACTTGCCTTTGTTGCATCTGTTTAGCTGACAACAAGTAATTAGCGTATAAAGAAGCTAGAGTAGCTTGTTGTGAAGCAACGGCGTTAGATGCTAAATTAATATTAGGTGATCCGATATCCGGTGGAATGGCTGATCCAGAACATGCCAACATAAGTTGACTATATAGAGCTGCAGCAGTTACAGGATTACACATGTAAGCTAGATTCATTGCAGCAGCTTGCTGATAAACAGCACTTAGCATTGAATCCATTCGTTGGTTACCAGAGTTTAATTGGAATGGATCTTGTAATGTCGGAGTATTACTGGGAGTCCTCTCAGAAACAAATGGATATGACTGGCATTTGGGAGAGGAATCTGTTACTTCAACAGGATCGCGTCGACGATTTGAATTCTCCGAACGGTTACCTGAAGAAATTAAGGAAAACAAAGTAAAAAAAACTATGAATAGTAAACAATGAGGCAGAGGATATCAATTTTACACATATTTAAGATAATTACATTTCATAGGAAAAATTGGAATAAAATACCCATACAGTGAAGTAAACAAAATAAGTATTAGTCTTATATCCCATTGGTTTGATACTAGTATCCGAAAAACAATCTAGTCTCCATAATCAACGCTTAACCTGATTCTTTTCTTTCTGTTTTAACTAATTTACAGTGAGGAAAGGAGGCTTGGATAAGCACTGAACAAGAAACATTGTATTCATGTGGCAGCAGAGAATACAATTATCCATAGCTAAAATAAAATAGAAATTCTGCTACAATTCAAGAAATTAATTTTGAGATTATATTGATAAAAGACCTAAATAGTCTTTTTCACAAATTATTTATATTTAAGCCTATTTGCAACAACTTTTTATTCTGTAAGGGGTTGTGAAAATTTTCGAATTTCGTTGAAATAATAAACCTTCATTGTTAATCTGGAACCATAGAACAGTCATTTCGTCCTAGTATGGAATGAATCTAGAGTAATAATAAGTATCAGCATAACCAAAGATTGATAAACGTTATAAACCACAAACTATCGGCTTAGTATATTGGCATGAACATTTACAAACAAGAAAGATTCCTCAGAGTTTTACTAAAATATCATGGTGGAGCTCAGAGAACGAAACACCACCAGAACTAAAATATCATGCATGAGCCTCCTGTGTATTGTTAGCCTTACAAACTCCATGTAAGTGATCAATCTAATTTCATTAAAATACCACTCTACTTTAACCTTGGTTGATTATTTACGGGAGAAACTTCTGTTCGTATTAAAGCAAGAATATTTAACATAATACCATTTAGAAAAATGATATGTAGTAGACACGATTTACAAGTAAAGATATTCAACCTCACAACTTAATATTATAAACAATCAATAACTGACTATATTTATGTTCAAAAAAAAGCTCATCTAAATAGGTATTACCATTAAAAAAAAAAGCTTAAATGACCGGAATACATAAGTAATAGGTAAATTATCCTAACTAATAAATAGTTTTACCAGTGGAACGGGATTTTGAAGAACGAGACGTTGACGGTGCACAGCTTGTGGAAACAGAAACTCGTGATTTAGTAGTAGTATTAGAAATAACTCCAGTACTAGAGGTAACAGTGGATGACAGCGCAGGGGATATGGACTGCCAGTTACTTAAAGCAGAAGCGATCAAATTAGCATAAGCTGGATGGCGAGCATAAGCACCAAATGTATTTAATAACTGCTGTTGCTGTAAATATTGTTGTGCACTGAAATTGTTAACCTGAGAGGAAGCAGCAGAAGATGGAGAATTGGACGTTGCCACATTGTTATTGCCAATACCACCACCAGTTGCTGCACTAGCTAACAAACTATTCAAGTAATGTTTATAAGCCAATGCTTCCATGTTACTTGTATCTTGGCCCCTAGCACTTGCAACACGATTATAGATTGCACGATCCTCCTGGAATAGTCGAAAAGTAAGCGGTAAAAAGTTAAACAGTATGATTTAGCAAGGTTAGGATTTATATTAGTATGGCCTATTTAGTTTATAATGGAATATGGGATAAACATATTATACAACTATTCATCTAATTTATACTGAAAAACAATGTTAAAAAAGTGGAGATGAATGATTACTACTCCGAGTTCGAAGAATTTTGCAAATCAACATACTTTAAAGAATGATGCAAAAAACTAGGGTAATGGTGAATGATTTTTAACATAGTTTCAAATCCCATGATAGTGATATGATTGGTTACTTTATTTATAGTCAAATCCTAAACAATTCTTTTATTCTGTATACGTTACTAACTGGTTTTTCTTATTTTCAATGGCATACTACTTATTGTCATTGAAATTTTGACTCCTCTGCATTATGGTTTCGCTGTGCTAGATGCACAATGTAAGTACTTTTTGAGTTCTTATTAGCACAGAGTTCAGACAAGAAAAACTCTAAGCCAGATTTACACGAAAAAGGTGATTCCGTTTACATTTTCTGATTAACAGAAATTACTTTTTAACAATTATCTCTAAGCACATACTGAATTTTGAAAAACAAACATATTAAGTATCAAAGATAATTAAAAGTTTTTCTAAATGTTAGAAGAATCTCCAGATCTAAAGCATACTATTAACAGTAACCTTCTATCTACTACGAATAGATAAGACTTTTTGGTCCGCTTCTCCTTTAATAGTAATCACTTGATTATGATTTAACACCAAAAAGGTTATTAAATGCTGTAGTAAAAGGTTTAAATGCAATATTATTACGTCTAATTTTAACAGTTAAAACATGTGAAAATAGAAAAATAGATTTATTAGATATACATATATCCCTGGTTGGGGTCCGCGAGACGAAAGTCACCAAAGGTTAGAGACCTAGAACAACATGGCTCAAAATCGTTTGCAATGGCGCAAGTGTATCCAATTCTTTAAGCTCTCTTAAATCCTAATATTCTGGATTCGTCAGAACCTCTACCTTTGTCTTTCTAACCTTATTTCACTTAATTATACTCCTTGAATAATATCTTCGAACCCTAGTCATCTTCACTACCATTAATAACTCTACTATCTTTATCACTATGGGATTTGATTTGACATCTGCGTCCTTGTGCTAATGTGGTATGGCAACATGAGCTTATGTACATACGTACGTAGTTCTACGTGGCAACTGTCTGTCTGTCTATTAGATATATATACAATGAAATATTAAATACATCATATTAGTGAGTAAATTTTAAGATGAAAAAATTACTTCACACCTCACTGGGGATCGCGAATATCAATTAACTGAATTACAGATAAAATATATTTCATTTTCTTACAAAAAATAAAACAGTAATAGAATTCTAAATAAAGAACGGTCCAAAAAATTATTCTAAGCAGAACCACTTACCACTTCCACGGAATATGGCATATAGTTTGGATTTGCATCCAACCAAGCTTCTAGAGACCTTCGTTCAGGAGCTTTATCACCATAAATTAAAGAACCATCAACTAAACTAATTACAGGGACACGTACATCCCAAATGTCAGAACTTGTATTTTGAGAAGCTTTTTGTATATCATTGCTATTCGACTCAATTTTCGATGAACTGACACGTTCACGTTTAGAACTGTACGAAGCTTTTGAGAACGTTGAATTTGAATCCGGTAGATGTTTAGATGCATCACTTTTCCGTTTACGTCCACGATTATTTGCTCCGGAAACAGAGCGTGGCGCAGATGGCATACTTGGTGGTGGCATTGAAAAATCATTATCATCAGACACTGGATTACTGGCAGCAATCGATAACGATTTGGAACTTTGTGAAAAGTGTTCAGAATGCGAAGTTGTAGATTTTTGAGTAGTGTCACGAAATGTTAAGGTTTCTTGATCAGTATCAGAATTTGTTTGACATTTATCACGATTATTAAATGAATTTTTGCTAAGTGAGTTAGATCGATTACTTCGATTACGACTTCGACCACGGTTTCGGTCGACTAATGTATTCTCGTTTGTAGGGGTAGAAACAAAGGGTAATGGATTATCATTTATATTTAATGGAAAGTTGGCAGATGTAGAAATACTCTCATCAGATTCTGTTGGTATGGAAGCTGAGGACGGTGTTTCAGAAGAATAAGATTGTAATGACGCTGACTTACAGTGTGATGAGTTAATATGCCTCCCACCTATAGAGAAATCGAATTGCTGTGGCTCGTCTAATTCATTGTTCGTAACCGCAGATGATATGTCTGTTAGACTAGATAACTTCAAGTCACATGTTGAATCAATTGAATTAGAGTTCATTTCAGGAGAAAAAACCGGTAGACCATACTGTTTTCGAGGTAATGAAACATGAGTAGAATTCATCGAAGTCCTTCTAGAATTACTAGACGATAAGGGATAATTGTCACGAATTGATGACATTGAACTTCGATAATTGGGAGGAAATACAGTACTTAAATTAGTAATCTTTGATTCTACATGCGACCGAGTAGAATTTACCATAGAAGATGAAACTGGAATCGCAGTGGTAATCGGTGTAATAAAACGGCGAGGATTTGGCCATTCGTTAGTCTGGAAACAAACACATTAAACATTTTGGTATAGGCCGTTTTATTACACCGATTACCACTGCGATTCCAGTTTCATCTTCTATGGTAAATTCTACTCGGTCACATGTAGAATCAAAGATTACTAATTTAAGTACTGTATTTCCTCCCAATTATCGAAGTTCAATGTCATCAATTCGTGACAATTATCCCTTATCGTCTAGTAATTCTAGAAGGACTTCGATGAATTCTACTCATGTTTCATTACCTCGAAAACAGTATGGTCTACCGGTTTTTTCTCCTGAAATGAACTCTAATTCAATTGATTCAACATGTGACTTGAAGTTATCTAGTCTAACAGACATATCATCTGCGGTTACGAACAATGAATTAGACGAGCCACAGCAATTCGATTTCTCTATAGGTGGGAGGCATATTAACTCATCACACTGTAAGTCAGCGTCATTACAATCTTATTCTTCTGAAACACCGTCCTCAGCTTCCATACCAACAGAATCTGATGAGAGTATTTCTACATCTGCCAACTTTCCATTAAATATAAATGATAATCCATTACCCTTTGTTTCTACCCCTACAAACGAGAATACATTAGTCGACCGAAACCGTGGTCGAAGTCGTAATCGAAGTAATCGATCTAACTCACTTAGCAAAAATTCATTTAATAATCGTGATAAATGTCAAACAAATTCTGATACTGATCAAGAAACCTTAACATTTCGTGACACTACTCAAAAATCTACAACTTCGCATTCTGAACACTTTTCACAAAGTTCCAAATCGTTATCGATTGCTGCCAGTAATCCAGTGTCTGATGATAATGATTTTTCAATGCCACCATCAATATATGCCATCTGCGCCACGCTCTGTTTCCGGAGCAAATAATCGTGGACGTAACGGAAAAGTGATGCATCTAAACAGTCTACCGGATTCAAATTCAACGTTCTCAAAAAGCTTCCGTACTAGTTCTAAACGTGAACGTGTCAGTTCATCGAAATTGAGTCGAATAAGCAAATGATATACAAAAAGCTTCTCAAAATACAAGTTCTGACATTTGGGATGTTACGTGTCCCCTGTAATCTAGTTTAGTTGATGGTTCCCTTTAATTTATGGTGATATAAGCTACCTGAACGAAGGTCTCTAGGAAGCTTGGTTGGATGCAAATCCAAACTATATGCCATATTTCCAGTGGAAGTGGTAAGTTGGTTCTGCTTAATAATAATTTTTTGGACCGTTCTTTATTTAGAATTCTATTACTGTTTTATTTTTTGGTAAGCAAATGAAATATCATTTTATCTGTAATTCAGTTAATTGATATTCGCGATCCCCAGTGAGGGTGAAGTAATTTTTTTCATCTTAAAATTTACTCACTAATATGATGTAATTTTAATATTTCATTGTAGCATATATTATATCTATATAGACAGACAGACAGTTGCGCACCGTAGAACTACGTACGTATGTACATAAGCTCATGTTGCCATACCACATTACGCACAAGGACGCAGATGTCAAATCAAATCCCATAGTGATAAAGATAGTAGAGTTATTAATGGTAGTGAAGAAGACTAGGGTTCGAAGATATTATATCAAGGAGTATAATTAAGTGAAATAAGGTTAGAAAAGACAAAGGTAGAGGTTCTGACGAATCCAAGAATATTAGGATTTTGAGAGAGCTTAAAGAATTGGTACACTTGCGCTCATTGCAAACGTTTTGAGCCATGTCGTTCAAGGTCTCTAACCATTGGTGACTTTCGTCTCGCGGACCCCAACCAGGGATATATGTATATCTAATAAATCTATTTTTCTATTTTCACATGTTTTAACTGTTATAAATTAGACGTAATAATATTGCATTTAAACCTTTTACTACAGCATTTAATATCACCTTTTTTCGCCTGTTATAAATCATAATCAAGATGATTAACTATTAAAGGAGAAGCGGACCATAAAAGTCTTATCTATTCGTAAGTAGATAGAAGGTTACTGTTAATAGTAGCTGTTAGATCTGGAGATTCTTCTAACATTTAGAAAAACTTTTAATTATCTGTGATCTTAATATGTTTGTTTTCAAAATTCGCAGTATGTGCTTGAGATAATTGTTAAAAGTAATTTCTGTTATAATCAGAAAAATGATAACGGAATCACCTTTTTTCGTGTAATCTGGCTTAGAGTTTATTCTTGTCTGAAACTTCTGTGCTAATAAGAACTCAAAAAGGTACTTACATTGTGCATCTAGCACAGCGAACCATAATGCAGAGGAGTACAAAATTTCAATGACAATAAGTAGTATGCCATTGAAAATAAGAAAAACCAGTTAGTAACGATATACAGAATATAAAGCACTTGTTTAGGATTTGAACTATAAATAAAGTAACCAATCATAGCACTATATCATGGGATTTGAAACTATGTATAAAATCATGCACCATTACCCTAGTTTTTGGGCATCATTCTTTAAAGTATGTTGATTTGCAAAATTCTTCGAACTCGGAGTAGTATACATTCTATCTCCACTCTATTGTATAACATGGTTTTTTTCAGTATAAATTAGATCTGAAATAGTTGTATAATATTGTGTGTATCCCATATTCCAATATAAACTAAATAGATGCCATACTATATAAATCCTAACCCTTGCTACAATCATAACTGTTTAACCATTTTTTACCGCGTACGTTTCGTGACTATTCCAGGAGGAATCGTGCAATCTACTAATCGTGTTGCAAGTGCTAGGGTGCCGAAGGATACAAGTAACGATGGACAGGCATTGGCTTTATAACTTCACATTACTTGAATAGTTTGTTAGCCTAGTAGCAGCAACTGGTGGTGGTATTGGCAATAATCCCCAATGCTGGCAACGTCCAATTCTCCATCTCTCTGCTGCTTCCTCTCAGGTTTATACAACTATTTCAGTGCACAACAATTATTTACGAGCAACAGTCAGTTATATAAATACATTTGGTGCTTATGCTCGCCATCAGCTTATGCTATATTTGATCGCTTCTGCTTTAAGTAACTGGCAGTCCATATCCCCTGCGCGTCGTCATCCACTGTTACCTCTAGTACTGGAGTTATTTCTAATACTACTACTAAATCACGAGTTTCTGTTTCCACAAGCTGGTGCACCGTCAACGGTCTCGTTCTTCAAACCCCGTTCCACTGGTAAAACTATTTATTAGTTAGGATAATTTACCTATTACTTATGTATTCCGGTCATTTAAGCTTTTTTTTTTTAATGGTAATACCTATTTAGATGAGCTTTTTTTGAACATAAATATAGTCAGTTATTGATTGTTTATAATATTAAGTTTGTGAGGTTGAATATCTTTACTTGTAAATCGTTGTCTACTACATATCATTTTTCTAAATGGTATTATGTTAAATATTCTTGCTTTAATACGAACAGAAGTTTCTCCCGTAAATAATCAACCAAGGTTAAAGTAGAGTGGTATTTTAATGAAATTAGATTGAATCACTTACATGGAGTTTGTAAGGCTAACAATACACAGGAGGCTCATGCATGATATTTTAGTTCTGGTGGTGTTTCGTTCTCTGAGCTCCACCATGATATTTTAGTAAAACTCTGAGGAATCTTTCTTGTTTGTAAATGTTCATGCCAATATACTAAGCCGATAGTTTGTGGTTTATAACGTTTATCAACTTTGGTTATGCTGATACTTATTATTACTCTAGATTCATTCCATACTAGGACGAAATGACTGTTCTATGGTTCCAGATTAACAATGAAGGTTTATTATTTCAACGAAATTCGAAAATTTTCACAACCCCTGACAGAATAAAAGTTGTTGCAAATAGGCTTAAATATAAATAATTTGTGAAAAGACTATTTAGGTCTTTTAATCAATATAATCTCAAAAATTAATTTCTTGAATTGTAGCAGAATTTCTATTTTATTTTAGCTATGGATAATTGTATTCTCTGCTGCCACATGAATACAATGTTTCTTGTTCAGTGCTTATCCAAGCCTCCTTTCCTCACTGTAAATTAGTTAAAACAGAAAGAAAAGAATCAGGTTAAGCGTTGATTATGGAGACTAGATTGTTTTTCGGATACTAGTATCAAACCAATGGGATATAAGACTAATACTTATTTTGTTTACTTCACTGTATGGGTATTTTATTCCAATTTTTCCTATGAAATGTAATATCTTAAATATGTGTAAAATTGATATCCTTCTGCCTCATTGTTTACTATTCATAGTTTTTTTACTTTGTTTTCCTTAATTTCTTCAGGTAACCGTTCGGAGAATTCAAATCGTCGACGCGATCCTGTTGAAGTAACAGATTCCTCTCCCAAATGCCAGTCATATCCATTTGTTTCTGAGAGGACTCCCAGTAATACTCCGACATTACAAGATCCATTCCAATTAAACTCTGGTAACCAACGAATGGATTCAATGCTAAGTGCTGTTTATCAGCAAGCTGCTGCAATGAATCTAGCTACATGTGTAATCCCTGTAACTGCTGCAGCTCTATATAGTCAACTTATGTTGGCATGTTCTGGATCAGCCATTCCACCGGATATCGGATCACCTAATATTAATTTAGCAATCTAACGCCGTTGCTTCACAACAAGCTTACTCTAGCTTCTTTATACGCTAATTACTTGTTGTCAGCTAAACAGATGCAACAAAGGCAAGAACTCCAGCCAACGAATCACTGGGATTCTCAGCAAACTTCTTGCATCTTTAGCTCCACTCTAGTTTCTGCTTGTGGTAGTTCTGGAGAACTAGACACTGCCTGCTCTTTTATCAATGTTTAGTGGGCTGGAAATAATTCACTGGGAATAGGAACGACTTCTACTCCTGTAAAGCATTCAAACTGTCAGCAACAGTCGTGCACCCAACCGGACAATAGAATTCATTCAATCTCACCATCTCCTACACCCGTCTCTGACTTAACTAGCTCTGTTTGTGCAGAGCGAGAAACTCAGGATTCCGGAGATACCAGACAAATTGTATCTTGTAGACATTCAGATCAATCTCAGGATAAATATGATACTACTAAAGAATATGAAGAGACTCAAGCTATTTTAGATCTCAGTAAATAATGATTTTAGCTTCAGGCTTTTGTGTATCTATAGCGTGGTAATCCTATATATATATATATATATATATATATATATATATATATATCTATTCTGTGTTGCATGTGGTTTTGTTTAGTAATCGCCTTTACAATCATTTCTAAATTCAACTCGCGGTGCGTTATTCAATCTTGTGTTTGCTTACTGGGCATTTCATTATTTATTATTATGATGATTATTTTTATTTGCTTTTTCCCATTGTACTACTACTCTTTATTGTAAACCATCTACAACTTCACTATCATTACTTTTAAAATTTTCTTGTTTAATACATGGTATTTCTAATAATTTCTATGTGTATGCACATTGTGTTTTAACTCTGTTCAAAATGAAATGAGAAATGTATGATAATACTGATAATTTGTTTATATTCCTCTACTTAGTGCGTCGCTGTATTCTAAATGGATCATTCATAGAAAAGTATGCCCTGTTCATATCGTGTGTTGTCCTCTTTTTTTTCTCAGTTATTGATTGAACACTATTTAGAAAATCTTTCAAAATACTCAAACACAGTCGCATCAATCTTCAATGAATCACTTCAATTCAATTTTTATTTCATTTCCTAACTGTCCACGTTTTCCCTCTCTTACACATACTACATATACATATGTTGTATATGTGTGTTTGTTTTACGAAATTATCTTAATTATATTATACACCTAAAAAACTGTATGTTGTTGTCTAAGAAACACTTTGTATCTGATGCATTTATACTTTGTGTTTTCTTTTCCAAAAATCTGTAATTATGCATATATTTATATGCATAGATATACACACATATATATATATATTTACATATATTGCTTCACTAGGTATTTAAATAATGAATTTCTCAAGTGTTCAGCTGATTGTCTCTTTTTTTTGTAAATCTGTCTAATATTATTAGGTAGAATGTTTTAATGATTTGTAGCATAATTCTAGTTGAAAATATTCATTACTATCTATTGTCCGTGCATGTAAAGCAAGTTGAAAATAACATGGTGATTTTCTAATCATCATAAATATTCAGTAGCTTTGCTCTATACAATTTTGCAACTACTATTTGAACCGTCCTAACTAAGAATTATTTGTGTTTAAACGATAATGAATAGTGTATGCTCAAACATACCTTAAAAGTCGCCTCCAGATGTTATTGTGGATTTGATGTTATTGTTGTATTTATTAAAATAGTTAGGAATAAGTTGGAGTCGCTGTAGATGTTCACATCACACGTTATGAAATTTAAGCTTGAGATGAAACTGTTCTGAGCACTTAAATCCGTCAGCAACTCCGATCTAGCTTTCCGTATTGTTGCTAATGCGAAAAATGGGAATTAATTTTCAGTAAATGCTTCACTATACATTATTTTGAAAACAATAACTAGAGTCGGTTCGAAGTTATTCTAAATTAAAGTTGCATTTCTTAGTCAACAGTTATCCTGCTCAACAAGCCCTTCTTTTCAGTAAGACACGAACTTTCCGTTTTCATTCAACAACAAGATTATTTGATTACCAGTAAGTGAATGTTTTTGTAATAGTGCTTACTTGTTGAGAATCTTAGTTATAAGACGTTAGATGAGGTATTTAGTGTTTTTTGAGACTCAACAATTGGGATTTAGACTAGGATTTGTAGGAAAACTGAGTTCTCATCCATCTACTGAGTAATCTCGTAAAATAATTACACACTCTTCCAAACTTCAGTGGTCAAGTGATCATGTCTTCTACTTACTGGAATATGTTGCATATCATTCGAAAACTAATGGTTTGAGGGAACGAACAGCACCGTGAACAACCACATATTAATGTGACTTACACTGCTACCTGCAATTTTGTTAACCAGCAATTGGGAAACTCGCGATCATGCGTACATTTTTGACGCCTCAAATATGCATCAAACGTGTAGTAACATGGAGGCACATCTGAAGAATTTTACTTTTGCATTCTTAGTGCAATAACTTCACTTATAAGTGTACTTGTTCTTCTTCATTACACTTAATTGGCGTCAAACAACTTACCGCGAACCGAGTCATAGGTCCATCCAAAGGATATGCCTTAGTGAATGCAGTTATTTTATCTTTACCGTGGTTTATTCTATTTATGCACCATAAGATATGTTTGTTCTGAATCTTTCTTCACCTTGTTTCTCTTTAGTAAATTTTCAAGTGGCTTCATACAGTTGTTCGTGTAACTTCCAAGAGCTATCGTATGCACATTACAAGCCGCAGTACAAATCTGAGAACTGAGTAGTCTATTCCTTGTTATATTATTTATTTAAAGTACAAATATTGGCGCAAACAGATACAAAACTGGGTTTTGTAGATGGTACAACAAAATTAACAGTAATTGGTGTACGAGAGTCAGATAACTGAATGAATGATATTTTAGCTGAGAGAAATGCAATCAGACAATACTTTGGTTGAAGGCGTCCATCTCATTTATGTGAAGAAAATAGAAAGAACAGCAGGATCACCGTTGGTTTCTATTCTGAGCAATGTCTGCTTACCTCTCTACCTCCATCTCTAAGATTCCGACCAGTTAGTTTTGAAAGTCCAACAGTTTGAACTATAAGCGTTTAGGACCATTTTAGGTCCGCTTCTCTTCCTGATATTTATTAACGACCTGTAAGACAAAGTTAGCTCGGAAACATTGATTCACACAGACGATGCAAAGATATGGAGGTCCATTAGAAGCGAAGAGTATTCGACTGAGTTTCTAAAGGATCTTACGTCCTTTGAGAAATGGGCAGTGAAAAACGGTTTAAAACTAAACCAGACGAAATGTCACGTCGTATGCTTTCTGCCCGACATGTCGCAAACGATTTACACCCTCTACAGAAGTCCGCTCCCTAATGTCTCATCAGAGAACGATCTCGGTTTAAAAACCACTGTAAGCCTCCACACCGATACGAACAATATACGGGGCACAGCCAAGGCTAAAATAACTCTTCATTTTATGCGAAGACAACCTTGTGCCATCACCCCTGAATTATTCTTCATGTTGTTTATGACATATGCGCGCCCTCCTGAGTCACAGGAGAATCACAGGTGACCCGATCATGGCGTACAACCTATTAGGCACGCCAATCACCTGACCGATGCATCACCACACTCCTCGAAGTAATCCTCCGAAAATTGCGCATCAAGGAGCAAACATTTCTCCCATTTTCGAACACTCAGGTTCGTGCACACTTTTTCTCACTAATAGTCGTTGCAACTTGGAATGCTCTCCCAGCTAAAGTAACTACATCCGCCTCAGTGGACAGCTTTAAGAAGAGACTTGATAACTACGTATTCACATATGGATTATCATCTCCCTCTTGGATTATTTGTGCCTGATACGTCTTGGGACCTTCTAGTTGTTATTATTGCTATCTCCTCAGATCACAAACTTAATCTATACTGCTTAGTATATCTGTTTCTTCTCCCTTGCTTACACTACGGTCCTCTCTCACAATCTTCCCTATCAATTAATAAAATAACTTCTCCATTTATTTACTTAGTTCTGAAATCTTATTCTTATTAGCATTAGAATTCTATCCTTATTATTCTCCACATTGCAACTAACTGATCTATGGTCTGGTAATGTAATAGCTGCTGGTATCCAGAAACATTACTGCCCTGAAACAAACGTATTCATTCAAATCCCGAGACATGCAAACTCACAATCAACTGCCAACTGACTATAATTAGGTAGTTGAGTGGCTAGACCCCCCATGCATTGGACACTACCAAACACCTGAAACCTTACCGAAAGAACAAGAATCGAGGTAAAGAAATCAATTAGTTTATACTAGCTCGTGAACAAGAAATCGGATAGTGGAGAACGTAGCGGCCAGAGGTCGTTTATTAAAACAAGCCGTTACGTAAAAGATTATTTTAGGTATATATGAGGCAATCAATAACGAGATGACATGAATGGTGGGTAAACTAAGTGTGCCGAGTGGCGGTTGACTATGATCACCGGGTGATTTCCCTTCATAAATCCGAAACCAAGAAGAAATTTGGATGAACGAAGGAATTTGTATTTGCTGGCAATCGCGTGGTATCTAAATAAAATCGAGATCGTGCCAAGGGATACAAGCGAGCCTAACGTGAAGACAATGAGCGAGATGAGGGCCACAATCACTGGTACAATAGGTTATAATAATATCTACTTCTGTTAAGCCAGTGGCGTTCTCTTCATAAAAGTGGAGTCCCTACAGAGAAATAAAATGATAGTTCATTATCTAGAAAAGCCAGCTCTAATCTGCCTATGGTAGTGCAGACTGCACTGGTATCTCTTTCAGAAGCCAAGTATCTCATCTCAGCACGAGCGAGCCTTTCTGTGACGAACGTAGTCGGCTGAATATGTTTCTGACTAGTTGACTAAGGAAGTTGACTACAGCTTCGTCTGAAGCTATTGCCATTAAAGCAAGTGGAGAATCGATGCTCGAAAGTCACAACATAGATGCTCGTGTTAACTTATTCCGTCAAAGGTAAAAGTTGCTTAAACC